AAAGGGGGCTCAAGTAGAAGCTATGGCAAATCCATCCACACCTCCCAAGATACGCCATGCTCCTACTCAATTATTAGGGACTGAGAAAATCCCTAATAGGAAAGAATGAGAAAAGTCCCTAATAAGAAAAGATTGAGAAAAATCAATTTAAAACAAGAATCCACAAGAACAAGAGAAACTAAGTCAAGAACCAAGATCTTGGGGATGAATGGGCTAGGAGTCCACTCATCCCCAGTGGAGTCGCCAATTGTTAGGGCTCTAGCCTCTGCCTCTCTTACTCTTATACTTATGTGCTCATGCAAATGCCAGTCCCTACTTCTCTCAAGCTGAAGTGCAACTTTATACAAAGAGAGGGAATATTCTAAGGATCAGACTATTCCTAGCATCTAGCTATTTTCATAAGGAAAAGCTTAGGATAGATATCAATGTGATACCGATCAGTACTATCAGGATATAAACTATCAAGTAAAGGACCAATGTAGCACTCCTTATAAAATTTGAATATTATTACCAAAATATGTTGAGCCCTATTAGGTGCTAAAGCACATTATTTATATATCTTATTAGTTGGATCTTCCAAAAAAGATGTTAAGTCTTTATGATGTATTTTATATTAGTTTACTAGCCCTATATCATGAGGATTTTGACTGCTCTAATCCTGCTCCAAATATTGTCAACTTGAGAATGAGGTTGAGGCAATCCTATTATATTACAAGGCATATAGTGGTCTTACGAAAGAGTATTTAGTTAAATGGAAAAGTTACCCATTTTTATGAATCAACTTAGGAGCCTCTTCGAATTCTTATATATGCCCATATGGTTATTGTAAAGTATGAAGCACATAATAAAATGTAGTTTTTGTAATTCTTTATAATAAGTCTTGCAACTCAATAAAATATTCAATTTTTGTAATCTAATATTTCTTTTATTCCTTTTTTTTGGGTCAGTTTTGGTAGGCTGAGTACATGGGTTTAATCCATAACCATGAGGATAACTATTATCAACTGATCACAAGTCTATATTATAAATAACCAAAGGGAACAACTCAAGAGACGATCTATATAGGTTCAAATATAGAAGGAAAGGGCCCATGAATAAGAGTGCATCTTCTTTTTCAATTAGTTAAGGGTCTTGGGATATTTGGGGTTAAAAGTGTCCTTGGGTTTGAATAGTACTAAATTGGGTGCCAAGAAGTCTAAATTCAGGAGTTTACACATGTTTTTATCTCGTTGACCAATTTTTTAAAATGAAAAGAGGCATAGTTGTTTAAACAACTTCATATACCAATTTTAAAGGTTGATTTATGCTCAAGGGAGTTGGGCTTTGTATATCCTTATGGGTAGAGTTGTATCATTTCTTTATAAGTTAAGTGATATTTGGAGTAGCAAGGGTGGTTAATTCTATTAATCATTTCTTTGTCAGTGACAGTTGAAGGGTGTTAGTGTCTTTTGATATAAAGGAGAGGTCATTCCCCACTCATTTAAGTTAATGTATTTTCTATAAAATGTGCATTCCATTAACTTTTAGAGTTATTTTCTTAAGAGTTTATTAGATTAGGGTATGCACCAACGAGGAAGTTAATCTTCCCAAAGGGGGGAGTGTATAATAAATGTGACTTTGGGTATCAAATGATACTTGTTGATTAATCTTTTTAGACATTCTTTTTTTACTGCTATAACAACAAGAGATTGGTAATATTAGTTCCCTTTGTTAATCTTTCCTCAAGTTAGTTGATAAAAAACTGGCTAGCATATGTGCACTTAGATTGGAAGGGCACTAAAAAAGGAAATATTAAGTTGTTATGCATATTTGACACAATAATGAGAAATTTATGTTGCTAATTTGTATTTAATAGTGTTCAGATATTGATATCACCCCATGATATTGAGCCTAATCCTTTAATATTCCTATATGATAACTTATCATGTCCACTAGACACTCTTACTATCATGCCTAATGTGTTAGTTCCATTTTAGTCCTATGTGCTATTTATCGTAAGTGTCTAGATATGCTAATGAGGCATATTTACAGAATGTAGAGAGTGTCTTAAGCACTATAATATTAGTCCTACATTCCAATTTATAATCTAATGCTACTCCAAACTTGTCCTAGAGATTAATTCTAAACATTTGAGTGAAAGCCCAAACCGAGCTTTCACATTTGGGGGGTGAGCTCTAAATGTATAGTAGAAATAGTGGTTGGAAACATACTAACTACTTAAAACATTATTTTGGTTTTTATTACATTATGTCACTCCTTTTTTTTGCATCTTATTCGGGTTTAACCCAAGTTCCATATTGCTTTAGTCGGTGGAGTACCCACCTCCTTGCAATAAACCACTGGTATGCTGAAATTGTGCTAAACTTCATTTGACACAATTTTATGTATAGAAGTTAAATATAGAGAATTAGTGCTCTTAAGGGATTTTAAATGTGTACCAAACCTTCATTTTGTAACATAGTGGGTTTAGAGTTTGACTTTAAAGTTAAATATACTATATTTAAGCTTTCACCCCATGATATATATTAGTGTTTGGATTTGGATAAATCAACCCCAAACATCTCAAATTCTGGATATATTAAGTGCTAGAGATGTTGGTCCGGTATATCCAATCTAAACTCAGTCTAAATGAAAACCCTAAGTTTAGTGAGAAGAGGAGTGCATTAAGAGTCAACTTCTAAGCTTGATCTAGAATAAGAATAGCATCAAGAGAGTATTATTTTTAATCATTATAAGTTCCCCATTTGAAGTTTCTTTGATTTCTTTTCATGGCAACTAGGGTATGGATGACTTAAAGATTGTAGTGGCAACTAAGATAGGTATCTTTTTGCTGATCATAACAGTGGGAAGCTACCTAAGGAATACACATTAACAAACATTCATAAATAATTCACAAGTGAGATCCAAATGTTTGAAGTTCAGAACAAGTTTGGGGTTTTTGGGTCCATGGTTGTTAAGACTTCTTCCAAGGATGCCAGTTATACCAAACTTCATTGGCATGGTTTTTTCCTTCTTTATTCACTTGGGGTCTAGAGAGCTAAACTTCACTTAAGGAGGGGATATATGCTATTACGGCTGCTCAAGATTATATACAAAGGACACTATTCTTTACCATGATTAGGTCCTTCATCTTATGGTAGCACTTCCATACCTTTTAATTGGATATCTAATTTCAATTAGCAATGGAACACTTTTCAACAACACACCAAAGTCCTAGTTTGTATAGTATAGTTGTGTTAGTTGATTCCTTTCTTGCCTTGGTTGTGAATTCACAATGATTAAGGTTCTCTAAGCACTGCCATTTAGATGTATAGGATGTTTTGAGGGGCATAGCTTGTGTTAGAGGCTGCATCAGACTAGTTTGTTAGAGTGCAAAAACATAACTTCAACCTAGATCCAAGAGGAGCAAGCCTAGATTCACTATGATTAAAGTACTCGAAGTACCACCACTTAAATGTTTGGGATGTTTTGAGGGGCATAACTTGTGTTAGAGGCTACATCAAACTAACTTGTTAGAGTGCAAAAACGTAACTTCAACCTAAATTTGAGAGGAGGGAGTCTGGATTCACTATAATTAAGGTATTAGAAAGACTACCACTTAAATGTATAGGATGTTTTGAGGGGCATAGTTTGTGTTAAGAGGATTGGCTCACCTTTAGTCATGATTCCAACTTCAACTAGATTTATGAAGAGTTGTTCACCTTTGGTTGTGATTTTAGATGATAAATTGGCATGTCCAGATATCAATTTTAACATATGGTATGATTCCCCTAGCTAATCAATAGAGTCAAACTCAATGTAAGCTCTTGAATTAAAACTTCTCAGGAGGTTATTTAGCATAATACTATTCAATTTAAATACACTTAACCTTAAGTATTCCAAGACCCTTAATCAATTAAAAAAAGGGGTGCATTCTTATTCATAAGCCCTTTATAGACCATCTTTCGAGTCATTCTTTTTAATTGTTTACATCCCAATTGAAGGGATCAGTCATATAGTAGCAAGGAAAGGACTTTCACACAGCAAGCAATGTCACTATTACTAAAGATTATGCACTCCTTCTCAGTTCACTACACTGTGGGATTCAAAATTGTACATCTTCAAGGTTTTTTATATCTCTAGGAAACTATAGACACTATATGAATGGATATCAAGCGAGGGCAATGTACCTCTACTGATTTCATGATTGACTCAAGTCCCTCACATTGGTATGCACAATCACATGGGAGAGATGAAGTTAGAGACCATAAATAAGGCACAAAATTCACAACCATTAAAGACTAGGAGTATATGCTTGTGGAGTGAGTGGAATAGATTTTGACCCAAATCTATTCCAGACTTCTAGTCTGAATCAGACTTCTAGTCTGCATAGAATCAGACTTTAATTTCATTGATCTAAATTGCACAAAACCAAAATCTAGTTCTATTGATCCCTCCTTCATCACCACACCTTATAGTCTTTCCTGGTTTCAAGCATGTCAAAACTAGACTCTATGGTTTTTTAGAGGATAAATATGAAAAACCCAACTAACAAACTTGGTAATGGCATATCTATATACCTTGACAAAAAGGTTATGTCTAAATATTGTTTTGTAAGTCACATATATATGATTAAACAATTCAAGAAAATATGTATTTTAAATTGATATGCTCATCTAAGTAGATCTCTCCAACTCTACAAAACCTACCATCATATTTGATTTCTATATTTTATAACACAATTCTTTTAAATGGAAATCTAATAATAGTATAAGCATTTAGAACTAGAAATAAATGTAATAAAAAGTTTTTTAAAGAAAAATTTACTAGCTATAGCACATCTTATTAGTACTAAAAGTGGATAGTATTGTTTTCTGAATGCATAATTTTCAATTATAACATTTTCTATTATATCAGTTTTCTCGCTTATTTCTTATCTTATAAATAAAAATATAATAAATATTACATTTAGCTTTTTGAAAAAGAAATCTAATAACCTTTTATTGTATTTAGCATTTATAATAAAAAGTTTCATTTCAAATTTTATTTCTTTTGGTTTTCAAATGTATTTCAACATCATAAAACAAACTGCCATCATAAATTCCCTTGATAGACTGTTTAGAAGCATATCCGTTTTCATCCTTCACCAATTGGAAGGCAGCACCCCATTCTAGCTTTGCTGCAGACCTAAGAATCAAAACAGGCATTCTCATGAACCATGTTTTGGAAATGTTAACCTTGCATACCATCCAAAAAAATCAAGAGCATCACGATTGCTCCGAGTCATAGCCATGATCTCCTTGAGAGACAATTTATCCTGGTGCGTTCCTGCAAATTTTGCAAAGAGCTGTTCAAAGTGAGCAGGGACGAACCTGATGTGAAAAGAAAATAAAAATTAGAAAAGCGATGATAAGGAAGAAAGAATCTCCAAAACACTAACCTGCCTTCATGGTCATAAACTCCCGTGTCACTTCCATGCTTTGCTCGGTGGATGTTCTTCACATAGATGGGAAATCTTGGAGAGGGAATCCAGCTCTAGAACAAGCACAAGTCAATATCAAACAAGAGTAGAAAGAAACCCAAGTTTTCACGGACCTCAAGAGTTGGATAGCTCAAAGCACCGTTGATAGCAACCATGGCGAAAAACGAGGTGGGGACGTTAAATCCCAGAGCTCGAAATCCTGTCATAAGCTCACCTCGATCTCAAGAGAGCGAAGAAGAAAAATGGAGCCACAAACCTGTGTACGTCTCCCACGGATAAACGATACCATCGCCATTTCGATCGAAAAACGCGACGTGCTTCTGCAGTGGAGTCATCTCGGCGTGACTGCCTTCTCCATGAGACGAGGAGCCTGCGCCAAGAGCTAAGACCAGCAGCACGAGGACGATCAAGCGAGCTAGCATGGTGATGCTCGCTCGAGAGGGAAAGAAGAACGTACTCTGCCCGATCTTTGCCTCCGCCATCGCTCCCTCCAGCGTCTAAAACCACCAGCGCTCGAGCTAAATTTGTGCTGCCCCGCTAAAGAAGCGATTCCCGGCCAGGGCCCTTCCGCCACGTAGCGCGCAAGTTATAACGCATCGCATTCCCTTGTACTTCTTTTTTTTCTTGGCCACCACTTAACTTTGCTCGAGCTCCAAGCTTTCTTCCACCACCGTGCAAGCCATCTCTTGCTCTTGCGTGACACCGCCGGGCTCCTCCTTGAGTGTATTGGACAGCACCACAAACGCCGAGGTGCTGCCCGGATCAATCTCCAAAACTTTGTCCGCAGCAAGCTTTGCTCGCGCCAAGTCTCCCTGTTGCTTGCACGCACTCAAAAATGCCTTCCACATTACTTGCCCCGGACGGAAAGGCATGCCGCGAAGAACTTCCTCCGCCAAGTCGAGTCGTCCGGATCGTCCCAGGAGATCCACCAGGCAGCAGTACTGCTCGGAGCGAGCGGCGAATCCACAGTCGGCCACCATCCGGTGGAAGATCTCGCAGCCTTCGCTCACCAAACCGGCGTGCCGGCAAGCCGAGAGGATGTTGACGAAGGCCGAGTAGTCGGCCTCTACTCCGGCGTGGACCATCTCGCGGAAGAGCTCCAGAGCTCGTCGCCCGTGACCGTGGTGAGCGTGAGACGAGATGTAGATCGACCAGGAGAGCAAGTCCGGGTGGCGGATGCTGGCGAAGAACTCCCGTGTCTCCGCCATCTTTCCACACTTGCCATACATGTTGAGGATGGAGTTCTCCAGCGCGGTGTCGAGCTCGATGCCGCTCTTGGCGATGGCGGCGTGGACGAGCTTCCCCTCGGCGATGGCGGTGGACCTCGCGCAAACGTCGAGGATGGTCGTGTAAGTGATCCTGTCCGGGGCGAGCCCCTCGCTTTCCATGAGCGCGTAGAGCCGGAGAGCTTCGTCGTGGAGGCCGTGCTCCGCGTAGGCGGTGATCAGTCCAGTCCAGAGGATGGTGTCCTTGGAGATCACTCGCTCGAACGCCGCGCGAGCGTGATCCGGGCTGCCACACCGCGAGAAGGCCTTGATGAGATTGTTGGCGATGATGGAGTTGGATTCGTAGCCACTCTCGCGGATGATCGCGTCGAGGAAGCGAGCCTCGGGCAGGATCGAGCAGCCTTTGAGCAGCGCCACGAAGGTGATCTTGTTCGGAACGAGGTGGCCGTCGTGGAGCATGAGCCGGAAGAGCTGGAACGCGGCGCTGGAGATCCCACTCTCGGAGTAGGCGTCGATCATCGTCGTCCAGGTGATGATGTCCCGGTGGAGCGTTCGATCGAAAGCTCTCCTCGCGGCAATCAGGCCACCGTTCTTGCTGCAAGCGTTGAGGATCGCGTTGGCGACGCTCGGCTCCACCGCGATTCCACTGGCGAGGAGAAGATCGTGGAGTCTCGTGGCTTGGATCAGCGCATTCTTGCCACTCAGCGATCCCAGCATCGCCAGGAAGGTCACCCGGTTTGGCAAGAAGCCCTCGTGCTGCATCCGGTGGAAGGAATCCATCGCCTCCTCTCGATCCCCATTCTCGGCAAATGCCGTGACAATCGCGTTCCAGGAAATTGTGTTGCGCTGGGGCATCGCCCGGAAGTAGTCGATCGCGTCGGCCATGGTACCACACTTCCTGTACATGGTGATGATCGTGTTTCCCACGAAGATCTCGCGATCGAGCCCGCGCTCGGCGACCATGGCGTGGATCGTCCTCCCGACCGCCAAGAACACCGCTGTGGAGCAGAGCTTGAGGAGAGGGACGAGGATGTGGGAGCTCGGCGGCACGCCCTGGAGTAGTATCCTGCGGAAGAGGTGGAATGCCGACCTAGAATCCCCGATCTGGGCAAATGCCGTGATCGAGTCGAAGAGCAGCGCCGCCGGAGGGTTCTCCAGGCTCTCGATCGCCGCCCATGCCTCGTCCAAGCTCCCGGATTCACCGATTTGGCGGAGAACCCGGTGGGATTCTTCATTGCGTGAAGGATTTCCGAGAACTTCTGCCGATGCCGAGCACCAGCAGTAGCGAACGAATGCGAAGATCAATCGTCTTCTCGTCGTGAGCAACAGCATTTAGGGTTCTTAAGACTTAGGGTTTATGAGGTGGAGGGCGCTCGCCTCGCATTCCACTGCCAGGCGCCTCTTCTCTTCGTCCTCCATCCCAGGTATGCTCTCTCTCGCCATCGATCCACCGGCATTCTTGTTTGACGACTCGCGCTTTGCTTAGCATGCATCAAAGGCGCCGAGGATCAAATTTTGGAGTCCTGGCAGAACAGCAATAGCAGCAGCAGCAGCAGTTGCTTCCTCTCGCAAGCATCGGACAGCAGTCACCCTCTGATCCAGGGAATTTCCAAGCTCCTCCAAACGCAGCCAGGAAATCCAAAGTTTGCGACCACCGATTTGCAGAAGCTCCACCTCAAGACCAACAATCCGGCAACTCTCACGCTCCAGAGGCTGAGGAAGCGGCGATGGAAGCAAGTGGTGGACATGAAGCCGACGCAGTACTTGTATCTCATGTCCCAGTGGATCAAAAAGGGAGGAGCGATGATCGGCCAGCCGATGTTCCAGCAGATGCTCAAAGTTGGCGTGGAACCCGTGGATGCTTACACGACCATGATCCGACATTTTGTCAGCCGTGCCAGGAAAGCTCTCAGCTCTCTCGATGCTGCCGAGTCGCAAGAATCACGCGAGGAAGAGGCTGAGAAATGCATGCTGGAGAGTCTCAAGTATCTCCACGAGATGAGAGAAAAGGGGATCACTCCGAATGGAAGCACTTACGAGCCGCTCGTTACTTGGTTCCTCGAGAACGATAAAACTTCCGAGTTTGAGGAGATTCTGGAGTGGATCAAAGGCGATGGACTCTCGTGCTACACCAGCCTTTTCAAGAGCTTTGGGAGGCTGGGGAGGTATGCTGATGCCGAGCGTTACTTCACTGACGTGCAAAAACTAGGTACGTTGTTTGTGAAATTTTCTGGAAGCTAGAGACTGATTATGGAATGATTCTTGTTCTCACAGGCGTTGGTGAGGAGCTAATGACTGAGTATCTGGCTTCGTTTGTGCAGGGCATCGTTATAACCAGTAAGGTAGATCGCAACTGATGTAAGCTCGAGGTTTTTATTTTTTATTTTTTATTTCTCATCTGTAGTTGGACGTCGCAATTCAGCAATGCGGACGAATGGCTCGCACTTTCAAGGTGACGCCATCTAGTACCACCTACAGCATGCTTATCAACCTCGCTTGCCGGTCGAGTCAAGTACGTGAGTTTCATGTGGGGTTGTTCTTTTCGACTTTACTATGGATAAGACTTACATTGCAGGATTTGTAGATCGATCAAGCACTGGATCTAATTCAGGAAATGCACGAGAAGGGTGTGCAGCTGGGGTCTGATGTTTTTCAGCCCCTCATGATAGCTTTTCTACACGATTCGCATCCTGAAGGGGTTAGCTTTTTTGTTCTGCTTTTTCTTTTCTTATTATTCTTTGTTCCTTCAGGTCTTTGAGCTGTTTGCGGCAATGAAAAGAATGAATGTTCAGCCATCATACGAGGCTTACAATTATTTCCTTCGAGCGTCTGCAAAAGCTAACAACGTAAGTGGTTATCTTTCTGGTTATGTAATTCGTATTGGCTTGTTTATTTCTGTAGGTTGAGAAGATGTTTAGTGCGCTACGTGAAATGAAGGAGTTGCGCTTGCCACGCACATCAGAAACATATAACGCCGTCATCCAGGCCTTGGGGGCTTCGGTGAATACGAAGAGTCGTAAAGCAAAATTTTAACTTTTTCATGTTAATTTTTGCAGAGACAATACCATCGAGCACTTACCGTTCTGAATGACATGGAAAACGATAGTGTGAAGCCAGATTCCGGAACAATGCTAGAACTGATTACTTGCAGCCCGGACTCAGGAAAAGCGTTAGAGGTGAAACACTATAATGGCACTTGTTGTGTTTCTGGTGACTGAGTGCTTTCATGGGCGCAGGTGTTCGAAAGGCTAAAAACTCTGGGAGTGAAGCCTACGGATTCTGTGTATGCATCTCTTTTCAGTTCATTGATAAGAGACGGAGAACTGGATAAAGCACTTGAGGTAATTAGTTTCCTTTCCAAGGGTGTATGTATCCTTCACGTGTTTATGCAGATGCTTAAAGACCCTGAAGTCAGTTTCCGGATTGGGATAAATGCAAAGAGCACTCTTCTTGACGGACTGGCTGAAGAAAAGCGCGTGGACGAGGCGCTTACGTGCTACGACGATATTTTACGTGATGGCAAGACTCCAGACTTGTTCTCTGTTGGCAGTCTAGTCGTGAGTGTATTTTCTTGGATGCTAAGATGCTAGCTAAGCGGCGTGGGTGCCTTTGCAGAGAGCGTTAGGATATGCAGGCAAGCTGGACAGGATGTTTGAACTTGTTGACAAACACTCCATGGACCCTGGCTCCAAAAAGAACGATCGTTTTAGGAAGGAAAACAAAATCAGGCTACTGATGGTGGCCACAAAGGCATGCGTGATACACAACGAACTGGGGTATGCTATCATGATATATTTCCTGCTATTCCGATCTGACTCGTATAGGACAGGCATTTGGAGACGTTTTTGCAAAAAGAACAAGAGTTTGAGTCAAGCATCATCTTTGATTCGGTAACGCCATGAATTCCAGTTGAGCTATTCAATTTTCACACGAATAATTCCATCGCAGATAATTCTCGACATCGCCAATGGCGAAGACAAGACGTGCGAGTCCGCCTGGAGCTGGAAAGATGGCTTTGCGTTGCGCAAAGTCATGCTCAAGCTCAACATCCCCCAGTCACGAATTTTTCTAGAAGCTCTAATGGACGGCTGCGTCGCAGTGAAGGATGCGAACTACGCCGACGAAATAGTGGAGCAAATGGAGGCCGATGGTTTACCTCTGAATGGCTTCTCACTCGTCAGGTAAGCAAGTTGGCTCTTCGGTTTTGACATTCTTTGCCCCTTCGCTTTGCTCCAGATTACTCCGAGTTTACGTGGTGGCCGAGAAAGTCGAGAAAGCCGCGAGCGTCTTGAAACGTATGAAGCGATGCTTGAAAGACGAAGATATATTTCTCCTAGCGGGACAGATTCTCAACTCGGCAGAGCCGAGCTTCCAAAGGAAGGTTTTTGAGCTGCTAGAGCTTCCGGAGTGAAAAAAAAACTAAGCTAACGGGTGATTTCATGGCAGTGTAAAAAAACCAAGTGATGGAAGTTTTTTACTTGCTCTTATTCCTAGGGTTTATATGTTTGTATGCGATGCGCGACGAGGTGGAGGAGAAGCAGCACAACGATCCATGGATCATCCCTCTCCACGGCAGCTACCGGCATTGGCGACGACGCTCGCGACCGGCGTGCTGCGCCGGGCAAGGAAGAATCCCTCCCCCCCTCTCCCGGTGAGTTCCTCAAATCTCTCGACGCCGCCAGCAGCGCCCCTGTCCCGGATTCTAGGACCTACGCGCGCCTGCTCCAGTCGTGCTGCGATTCTGGGGACTTGGCACAGGGGCGGATCGTCCACGCTCACATCCTGCGCAGCGGCATTGCTCGCGGCGGCCCTCTCCACGACCAGATTGTCAGCATGTATGCCAAGGCGGGGAGCTTCGACGAGGCAAAGGCGGTGTTCCAGGAGATCTCTGGCGGCTCGGCGGACGTCATCTCTTGGACGAGGATGATATCCTTGTGCGCTGGGCTCGGGAAGAACAGTGACGCGCTGGATTTCTTCCGGAGAATGCAGCTCCAGGGGGTGGCTCCAGACAGGGTGGCGCTCATCGCTGCTCTTGGAGCTTGCCAGGATCCATCCAGGCTCGCGGCTGGAGTTGGAATCCATAGCCGGATCACCGAGGCTGGACTCCAGGGTGACATAGTCATCAGCAACGCTCTCGTCAACATGTATGGGAAGTGTGGAGCTCTCGAGAGCGCTTGTGAGATCTTTCACGGGGTTCCACGGAACGATGCTATCTCCTGGAATGGGATGATATCGCTCTACGCTCAGGATGGCCACTCCAGGGAGGAAGCTCTGGAGCTCTTTCGACGCATGCACGGAGAGGGGCTGACTCCGAACAAGGTGACTTTCCTAGCGATTCTCAGCGCGGTTTCTGGAGCTCGGGGGCTCGAAGAAGGGAGGAAGATCCACACTCAGGTCGTGGAGAGTGGCTACAGCGGCGAGCTCTCGGTCGGCAACGCGCTCATCGACATGTACAGCAAGTGTGGCAGCCTGGAGGACGCTCGGAAAACTTTCGCGGGCATGGACGAGAAGAACGTCGTCTCCTGGACTGCTCTCATTGCCGCGTTTGTGGAGCATGGCTGCTACGACGAGGCTCTTGTCCTCTCGAAGAGAATGCTGCAAGGCGGGACCACTCCCAACCGGGTTAGCTTTGTGACGATGCTCGACGCCTGCGCTGCGGTGAACGCCTTCTCAACGAGCTCGCCAGAGGCAGTGGCCGGGGACTTGAAGGAGACCAGGGCGATCCACGGGTTGATCGTCGAGAGTGGAGTGGAGCTGGAGTTTGCGGTCGCCACTGCTCTCGTGTACATATACAGCAAGTGCCGGTGCTTGGAGGCCGGTCGAGAAGTGTTTAGCAGGGTGGAGAAGCCCGACTTGGTTCTCTGGACGGCGATGATAGCAGCCTACGCTGGGCATGGGGATTACAAGGAAGCCTTCGAGCTCTTCCAGCAAATGCAGGACCAGGGGCTCAAGCCGGACAAGGTTGTGTTCTTGAGCATTCTCAACGGGTGCGCAACTCCTCTGGCACTGGCTTATGGAAAGCTGGCACACGCTCAGATCATCAAGCACGGCTACGAGAGCTTGGTGTCCATCGGAAACGCGATCGTCCACATGTATGGGAAATGCGGCAACGTCGCGGACGCTCGCAAGATGTTTGACAAGATGAAGGAGAGGGACACAGTCTCGTGGACGACGATGATCGCGGTCTACGCGGAGCACGGCTACGACAGGGAAGCTCTCCAGATCTTCAAGGTGATGCTGCTGGAGAGCGTGGCTCCGGACAAAGTCACGCTCATCAACGTGCTCGATGCGTGCTCCAACGTCTCGGGACTGGCCCAAGGCAGGCTCGTCTACAAGCAGTTCGTGGAGAGTGGAGCTCACGAGCTAGATTTGGTGCTCGGGAATGCCGTCGCCCGCATGTTTGGAAGCTGCGGAAGCCTGCGAGAAGCGAGGGAGATCTTCGAGTCACTGGCTGCTCGAGACGTGGTCTCGTGGAACTGCCTGATCACAGCTTACGCGCAGCATGGATCCTTTGAGGAGAGCCTCCGGCTGTTCAGAAGGATGCTCGAGGAGTGCGTCAAGCCGGACGAAGTCACGTTTGTGGGAGTTCTCTCCGCATGTAGCCACGGCGGTCTCGTGGCCGACGGCTGCCAGTTCTTCGTCTCCATGGTGCAAGACTACCAGATCCCAGCCGAGGAGATTCACTACGGCTGCATGGTCGATCTCCTCGGACGAGCAGGACGCCTGGCCGAGGCGGAGGAACTCCTTTCCAGGCTGCCTTGCGCAGCAACGAACGACGTTATGTGGACGTCGCTGCTCAGCTCTTGCAAGCTTCACTCGGATCTGGATCGTGGGAAGCGTGCGGCGAAGAAGCTCCTGGCCATGGTTCCCGGCGATCCCTCGCACTTGCTAGCTCTGGCCACTATCCATGCCGCGAGTGGGGAGTGGAAGGAAGCGATGAGGATCAGAAAGGAAGTGATGGAGCGATGCTCTGGAGCAGCGAGAGGAGGTGCTGGTGGCATGAGCAGGATCGAAGTGAACGGCCAGGTGCACAAGTTTGTGGTTTAATCGACAAACTTGCACAGCGGCTAAGCCAGCTTATTTTCTAGATAATATTAATTTGCATTTTTTATTTAATGATGAAATAATAGTTATTAAACTTGAAATTCTTCGACATAAATTATGCACTCACAGAAGAGGCAGTGGAAATTGGTTTTCAGCCGGCGCTCCAGGATTGCTCGTTCGCTCCGCTAAGGATTTAACAGTAGCAAGAGTCCGGCAGTGGTGAGTGGATCCCGTGGAGCATATGATCATGTTCAGGACCGATCCGACCAAGGACGCGAAGAAACTCTCACTGACATGGCGGTGGCAACGGGATGATTCAAGGGAGCATCGACGAAAGAGAAAGTTGCTACAAGAGAAGCTGAACTTCAGGTGATAACTTGCGTGTCTAAATTGTAGGGCAAGGATGGAGGAGCGCAGGGTACTCCCACTTCGTCGGCGTGGGCCGGTTCCTCCCCGAGAAGACCCAGTTCCAGGTTGGCCTGATGTTCTACCGCGCTCGCCACCCCAAAAGCTCCATCTACACGACCTACATGGAGTTCTTCTATCCAAGTGGTCCTCGACATCGTCCGCCGCCTCTTCTTACCCTCGCCTAGACGAGTTGTGCCCAGCCGAGGATCTGCAGCTCGAAACCTGGCAAGATTTTGGGCAGCTCTTTGACAGGTGGTTATCGCTTCACTGGGATGATTCTCTGCCTGCCCCTGGAAAGAGGGCGGCAGCCGATCCGCCGATTGCAGGGAATCCACATTGGGAACTGGCATTGGCCATGAAACCCTTCCTTTGCGACGAGCTCCCGCGTGGTCCGCGTGGGCCGACGATCGGCAGGGCCGAAATGTGCACTATCAGCGAAAGTAAGTTCTTTGTTCTTGAAGTTCTCTCTTTGCAATAAATCCTTCGGTTTCGGTTTTGCAGGGCGCGAGATGATGTTTCTGGGAGTCATCACATTGGATGGGATTGAGTCTTCTAGTAGCAAGCTTGTGTATGCAAGGCTCTGGGTGTACATGGTACTAAACCAGGTCTCCATCGGAATGGTGGCCTTTGCGGAGCATTTAGCGTTTTGTTTTCGGATAGATGACGGGTTGAAAGTTCACGTTGCTTCCAAGGATGATCCCACATCACTGTTAGCTCTGGGCTACGCCATGCACCTAGGCAGGCTTTCGCCATCGCCATCTTCTGGCGTCTCGCCCACAAGGACGTTCTCGTTCGATGGCACTCGCTTGCTCAATCACAGGTTTATGGCAGCGTGCAAGGAGATGGGACTCGGCAGGCTTGACAAGGTTGAATCCATGCTACGTGGCATCGACGAGCGCGAGCTAGTGGAAGTAACCAGGCTTGTGTCACAGAGCGCGAGTGTGGTCCGGGCAAAGTACCGGGCCAAAACCGTGGCTTTGAAGATCATGGATCTAACCTGCTGGCGAAGTGATTTCGAAACATACCTCAAGAGCACGCTCACAGAGATTAAAGTCTACCAGAGACTGCACAAGTACCAGGGACGCTGCATACCACACCTCTACTCGTATGGTTTCTTTGGCGGGGGGATGTTTCTCTACACGATGATGTCGGATTTTAGGACGGGGGACTTGGACATACCTTTGACGAGCGAGCAATATCAAGCTCTTGTTTCTGGCGCAAGAGAGGCACTGCAAGCGATGCATGATCGGGGTATCCTTCATGGAGGGATTGACAACAAGAGCATTGTTGTCTCGAGTTTGGAGAGATCGGGGGCCTATGCAGGATATCTTCTTGGGTTTGGACACGCAGAGTTTGTGCCGCAGTCGGGTAACTATAAGAGACAGATGGCCGAGGAATGGCTGAGGCTGGAGGACTCCCTTGCTGTTTATGCTCCGCGTTGATCTTTCAAATTATGCTTTAATTTATGTTATTTTTCATCACTGAATTAAAACGCTATGCCTCAGCAAATTTCTCCATGAAACATTAAGATTTTTTTCTACCCTCACTAGTGACAACAGACGTAAATTAAAATTGTTTTCCTTGCACGTAGAGAAATTTTCTAGGGTTCTTCGCTAGTTTCTTCGCTAGTTCCTAGTTCCTAGTTCTTATATTCTGGAAAGATTTTCAATCGAGCATGTAAAAACAAGATTCCTTAATTTCTTCTTGGGTTTATATTTGGGGGTTGGGTTGTGCCAGGCTAAGGCGGTAGTGTAAGGCCAAAGCGACACGCGGAGGGCCGGGTAGCAAGCTACCGGTGGCCCGCCTCCCACAAAAAATTAGGTTAATAGCGTTGGGGCACGTGGCCCCATATCAGCTATTAAACTGATAAGAACAGATACTACACTTGATCTTAGCCAAAAGGCCGAGAAAGGTATGAACTTCCCTTTGCCCAACCCTCTCTTATATACTCTAGCCCGGGCACAATTATGCGCCTTCGCATGTGGGATAGGGCGCACACTCGTATCTCGCCCTAATAAGGGCACAGCTGTTTGCCACGTAGACATTTTTCAACATTGACACTAATAGAAGATTATGTACAAAGATTTAATGTACAAAAATGTGATTCATAGGTATAGAGACGCCGCAAACACAATGTCCCTTTTCATCTTGGTGCTTGCGTCCTGGAACTTGGCCTCCATGTCTGCCTCTCCAATGGCTTTCGAGGCTGTGACCAGTTGCTGGACAAGCTCCTCCAGCCTTCTAAGCGCCCGGATCAAGCTCCCTTCAAACACCTCCGCCACTTTCAACACCTCCAGAAAGCTCTTTCCGGTGCACCAGGCATGGACTCCCTCCATTATATCCGGCCGAAACGAATTCACGTATTCCTCCACATCGACTGGAACCTGTAAAAACGACCTTGCTCTAGTGGCAGAAAACAAAGAAAAAGAGAAAGAACACTACCTTGCATTCCACTTGGAGTTTTCCAACTTGCCTGGCTGTGTCCTGGAGCTGCGAAAACAGTCCAGCAAGTTCTTGAGACAGCGGCTTCGCCATTTTCGTCTTCTCTTGCCACACGAAGCATGACAGTAGCGCGGCAGCCTGCTCTGCTGTGACGTCCTTGAAAACACCATTGAATATCAGCTCCGTGACAATGAGCTCGTCTGCGCTGCTTATCTCGCAGGCCACGAGCCCCTTGAGTTGCACAACGTCGTCCCTGGTGGCATAACTGCGGGACAAAGAAAAATCAGTCACTGTGGACTTGAGAAAAAACCAAGTACCTTAAACGACGTAAAACTCTTCGACGCGCTTTTAGTTCGTCCTTGAATATTAGAGCGGACGCAGCACGCACTTCCTTCCGCGCTACACGAATGGTCTCGGCTAGATCTTCCTTCTTCTGGAGCAGCCTCAATCGTTCATTTAGAGTTGGAGATTTTGCAACTGGGTGTTTTGCTATCAGAGTTTCCAGTGCTTCCACTCGTCGCACCAACTTCTTGTAATCGCTGCTTTCCACCTGTGCACCAAAAGCTCACTCATGCTTCAAACGAAGAGTCTCACCTTCATATCATCCTCGGGATCTAAAAGCTGCAATCCGTCGGGAAACCTTTTCAGTACTTCCAGCACGGTCCTCAAGGTCTGCTCTCTTGCTTCAGCTGGACGCAAATCTCTTGGAATACGAATCCGAACGGCACTAAGGCTCTCCACCTAATATAGATGGTAAGAACAAGAACCAAGCACCGATAAGAGATTACGTACTTGAGACAAAGGAAATGCTGTAACTAAAGGTTGCCCATCCTCATCCAGAGATACAGGACGTGCCACCTTCGGTCTGTCCCCTTCTTTCTCAGTTACGCAGTTCACCAGCACGTCCACTACGTATTTCAAGTGCTTTCGCGGCTTTGATTCGAAAGGATCATCTGTAGAAAAAGTCAGTACACGTACTGCGCCATTCGGCTTACCTTCATCTGAGTCCTTTGACTGAGCCTTCTCAAAGTTGATAATAACGCCCCATACAGCAGGATCTTGCTCCATTAGTACGCTATTCTGTTGCTCCACTGCATCAGCAGATCTGAATATCCGCACTAGACGCCCAGGTTGAAGAAACGGAAGACAAGATCGAGGAGCGAGTATAATCTCCCGTATCTGATTCTTTATTTTCCTCAACTGATTGACCGATGAGTAGTATTCTGCTAGCTTCTCCTCTTCTTCAATAAGAACAGAAGCTCTTTCTTCTTCCAGATTCTTCACGCGTTGCTGCATTCAGACTCTTATAAGTGCGGGATCATTTCAAAAGGAGTGGAATTTATACCTCAAGGATTGGTAAGCTTCGATCAGACTGAAATTGGTGAAAGGACTGGCGAAGTAAGTCTTCTGGGTTACTCTCTTCACAGCGCATCTGATTTAATATCATATTATAGCTGAGATGAAAAGCACTGAAAGAAGAGACAACCATGAGTACAGAAGCCGTAACATGAAAATTCACCATTACCTATTCAATGGATCGGCAGTGCCCTTCACTATCTGCTTTGCAACAGCTGGTTCTAGCTTTTCATCTAGCATAAAAATACATACGCCAAAATTGTCAAGCCCTCTACGCCCTGCGCGTCCACTCATTTGAATATATTCGCCGCTGGTTATCCAGCGAAACTTGTCACCATCAAACTTGCGAACGTTCGTGAACACGACTGTCTTGGCAGGCATATTCAGTCCAATACTGAATGTCTCTGTAGCAAACAGGCACTGCAACATCCAACAACTTAGGAAGAAACGAAACGCTGCACAAATATACCTTTACGAGCCCTTCTTGAAATAATATCTCAATAACTTCTTTAAGAATGGGCAACAGGCCCGAGTGATGCACTCCGATTCCGCGCTTCAAATAAGGCAGGGCCAGAGAGACCTGCAAAGATAGTTAAGTATATCGTTTTATACACAAGAATCGATCAAACCTGAGGAAGCTTTTTATCGTCTTCAGATAAAGAGTCCATGGCATTTCGAAATATGCCTTCAACAAGTTTCTTTTCATCTTCTGAGTTAAGGTCCATTTTTGACATCTGCAAGCAACGGTTAGACAAACACATCAGCGAGGAGAAAGAAAATCACCTGCATTGCAAGATGCTCGCAATCCCTCTTGCTAAAACTGAACACTATCACTGGATCATATTGCCGTGCAATAATCATTTTCACAATCTTCCAGATGTCACTTGGTTCGTCCTTTCCTTCTTCTTTTCGCTTTTGCCATTTTCCGTCCTTCTTTGGATCGGCAATTGCAACTGCGTTCACTGCTTTCGAGAAACTGTCCTCTCGAAACGTACCTTGCTCATCGACGACAAGATACAAACCATCCCCACCGGCGGGAAAAATATAGTGTTGTAGAGGCGTTGGTCTGAAGTCAGTATACACGATGTGACAAGGTTGTTGATGAACCTGTGAGGCAGTAATACATCAGCACATTCTGCCAAATTCAAAGCGTGAGGACTGTACCTTTGCAACCCAGTCAGCGAATTCTTTAGCATTTGGCACCGTCGCTGATAGAAAAACAAAACGGGCGTTCTTAGGAGCCATGACAATGCTTTCTTCCCACACCACTCCTCGTTCCCGGTCTCTCATGTAGTGAACTTCGTCAAAAATTATCCACGCAACTTCTCTCATGACTTCTGATCCTCGATACTGCATGCTCCGCAAAATCTCGGTAGTCATGACCTGCAGAATATAATGACCACTATGTAAGTTTCAAGCCAACGGAAGTATTGAATATGGCAACTAGTCAAGAAAGAAAGTCGCATCAGAATTCTCGTAAAAGCATCATGAGCGCTCCATTGGAGCACTTCTGATCTTCCTATCATAAATGAGACTCATCATAGCGAGCTATCCAAGCTGAGGAAACATTTACCAAGCAAGACGCATTGGGGGAGATTGTAACGTCACCAGTCATCAGCCCCACGTCCGAAAACTCCTCCGCGAGCTCTCGAAACTTTTGGTTGCTCAGCGCCTTGATAGGAGATGTGTAAAGCACACGCTGCTGATCTCTTAGAGCCATGGCAATCGCATACTCCGCGACCACAGTCTTGCCTGCCGACGTGTGTGCCGAGACCTTGCCGAGAAAAAAAATTCAAACCAAAGCTCCAAATCCAAAATTCTTGCTAGCATACCATGACTGATTCTCCAGCTTCCAATGCCGCAATCGCCTCACGCTGGAAAGCGTCGAGCGTGAAGGGATACTCCTTGGCAGGCTTCGCGGGAGCGTCACGCTTCTCACCTGAAGCCTGGAATCCATCCGGATACGCGATTTCGTGAATGCAACCCCGCTCGATCGCCGCCGGCGCTAGCGTCTCGGAAATCTTGGCCTGCTTGAGCGATGGCGACGCGAGATCATCCTCGGCGCCGCGCTTGGTGGACGCAGCCGCCATTTGCCCTCCTAAAACCCTAAACTCCACAATGGATTATTTTTATAACGATACATTGCTCGCTCGCTCTATCTCCTCTACACGCGAGAAAAAAAACTGTGTAAGAGCTCAAACGAGAAGAAGAAAAGGAGAGATGGAGGTATACCTTTTCCCGCTGTGGTGGTGGTGGAATTCCAACGATTTTATAGTCTTCCTCGCTTTCTAGCGTGTGCTTTGGAAGGAAATGGGCTAACTTTCTTCCTTGAGTCGCCAAGAGCTTGCGTCGCTCCTCCTCTATCACCTCCTTTCTCTTGGCTTGCATCTCTTCTTCTTTCTTCCGGAATCCTTTGGCCTCGTCCACCTAAAACGAAACGAGAATTGAGAGTTTTGAGAGATCATAAGCGTTGCGTACCTGTCCGTGGAACATGGACTTTTTATCCTCCCACAACTTACTGATCTCCCTCTTGAACTCTTCCATCTTCATCCTTCGTTTTTGAGCGTTCATTTGCTCGATCTTGTGCTCCTGAGAAAAGAGAAAGCCGAAGATCATTGAGACAAAAGGAGAAACTATTACCTCGGCCATTTGATCCATCATCTTCTTGTGGAAGGCCTCCCTCTCGGCCTTCTCTTTGAGCTTGCGCTGCTCCTTCAGGAAATGGTCGTGCTCATTCGAAGCCTTAAGATTTTCTCGGACTTGCTCTCTCTGTAGACAAGGGAAGTTGCCATTCTCAAAGCCACGGAGGAACAGTCTTTTGGTACCCGGATCCTCTCTTGCTCGGCGTTCTTCCTGTAGCGCTCTTCGGCCTCTTCAAAGTAGAGATCGTTGAGCATCTTCTCAAAGTCATCCCTTTGGCGAGCCTCTTCTTCTTTTCCAGCGGACAGAATTGCGTGGATCCTGGCAACGTCAAACTCGACCAAGTTTTTCAAAAACCAGACCGCATGCTCACTTTTCTTCGCGCTCCTTCTTTTCTCTCTCCTTTTCGGCTTTTTCTGCTGCTCGTTGGTCCTGTAATGCTCGGTATCGGAGCATTTCTTCTTCCTCCTGCTTCATTTTCTTCGCCTGGAATGCGGATCAAATGAGAATCCTCTAAGATAAACATCTTTGTACCTTGTTTTCTCTTTCTTGTTCTCGAGTCTCTAGATATTTATGCACAAAGCTCATAGCTTCTGTTTGTTTCTTCCTGTATGGAACGAAGAATGTAAGAAACCTGTTTTATGGAGACCTTGAATGCCTTACTTTTTAGATGCTGCCTCCTCCTCACGCTCGGCGTTTAGCTTCATAATCAACTGAAATATCAAAAGCCACACGGTTAGAAAAAAGTTCTACTATTGTCATGAGCCAACCTTGTCCATTTCTTTCTGCTCCTCGATCCTCCGCTCCCAAGCCCGCTCCTTCTCAAGTTCTTTCTTTTGTAGTTGCTCCTTCATCGTGATCACAGTCTCCATCTGCCAGAATCGAAAGAAAAGAATGCAAACTCGCAATAAGACCTCGGCTCTTCTTACTTTGTCTTTCTGGATCTTGCATAAACGCTCTTGCTCACGCCTCTCAGCTTGGTCAAGCTGTTCCAACATTAACTCTTGGAATTTCTTATTTCGAGACGCTTCTTCCATCTCTACAAGCTTCTTCTCTTCAAGCTGCAATAGCCACAGTGACATGAAAACAAGAGAAAATAGTTCATCAACCTGTCGCTGCCTTTCCATGTTCATTTGAGCAAGATGGAGCTTGGCTTTAAGATCCCGCAACTCGGGAGAGTCCTGGACGACTTTGCGAAGCATTTCACGCTCGCGCTTAGCTTCTTCCACGGGATCGGGGGGCTCACTGTCCCACACATCATCGTTGGACACCTGATAAAAAAATTCACTGGACAAAAGATGACAAGAAAAACTCGATACGTCAAAACTCACATAGTCGAATGCTTCTCGCATTCGTTCTTGCTTAAGGAATTTATCCTCTTCATTTATCTACAGACAGACACAGAGAAACAAACATGAAAGATCTTACGCGAGTGCTCCAAAGCTACAAGAACAAACCACAGGATACTGATATGGAGGTTCTTCCAGTTTGTGCCCGATCGCACATCGTTGATCTTCTTTGAGAAAACTGCACAAAAGAAAGATTTAAAACAGGATAGCTAAAGAGCCTTCCAAAGATTTTTCACCTGATGATCTTCCCTCGGCTAGCTTCATCGTGCCTTTCCCTGTCCAGCCGGTTTTGGAAAGCTGAGAAAACCATGGAAACATCGTGTCAGGCAATGTACGTGAAAGAAGTGGGATTTCTTCTACTTACTAGTAGAGAGCTTGAACATCGAAGCCTGGAGGAACAAAACCGCCACCCAGAAAGACAACATCAGAAAATAAAAACTTCCAATCTCGAAATGCTCACCATCGTCCTGGTCGCCAAAATGCCTCAGCCGGGCATTCTCCTCCAGCGATCTCCACCCGCAGGGATATTTTAGGGCAGAGCATGGTAGGAAACATCAACGGCTGTAAAACCGTGAACAGATCGCCGCCGTCCATCCAAATTTTCAAATCCACAGGGTGCTCGCCAGCGAAGTCTTCTCAAAATCTACAGAACAAAGGCTGCCAGCCCAGCCATGGCCAGCGCTCGCATACGGCACTCGTACGGACGGAGAGATTCCATGGCATGATGATCCAACATATCGAAAGAGATGCTTGACCTCGACTGTTGGGACCGCTATCTTTTTCTTTCTCTCTTTCGGGAATAGGTCACGAGGAAACGAAGTTGTCAAAGCGCTGGATCTTTCTCCTTTTCCGGACATGAACAGACGATCCGTTCCGTTGGTGGGCGAATTGGATTTGATTCATCATTCATTCATTTTGCATCCACCAGCCTCATCCATGGCACCGCGAGACTATCAAAACAGCATATCGATAGATTGTAAGGATCGATCATCTCATCCTTTCCAACTGTTCGTCACGGCTGATGGTTGTCCGCAATTTATTGGCCACCACCTTTTCCTGCTAGAGAGAGAACAAGTCGGTCGGTGTTTAGGCAGCTTTAATTCTTGGAGTAGCCAAACAACCAGCAGCAGTGCCGGTATTTGATTCAGCCTCCTGTGCCGTGATCGTGGATGGATTGAATGCTATCCGGAAATAAACAGGCATCGAACTTCATGCGCAAACTCTCTATCGGACACTTATAGTACGGAAGCACAAGCTCTTCTCCTTTTCTTTTTCTTTCGTGGAGATTCCAGCTGCAGATGCAAATCAGAGCGACCTCGATCGAAATGAATTGAATTCGATTCTCCGAGTCAAGTGCCAGAGCGAAACGAAACGCTCCATGTGATTCTGGTCAAGTCCCCCATGAGCGAAATGACGCCCCACACCGCCAACAACAAAGCCTGTCAGGCCAGGACAGCGACAAACCATCTTAAAAATCTCACTCGCCCACTTCCCTCCAAGTTACCCGCGCGTACGGAATGCGTGAACTCCGGAAGAACATCCAACTTACAATGTGTACGGAAGAGCGACACCGCAGAGTATGCGTGAACCAGATTCTTTTATGATTTTCATTCCCCGGGCACAAACGAAAGGATGGATGGAATGAGATCAATCATGGCTGGGCACTTCATTCAATGCTCGGGTCCCTTGTCGGCCATGGCAACATCGATCGCGTACAGCCCAAGTGTTTTTTCTCCTCCTCCTTTGATCGCTCTGTAATCATGTAGGTAGAACAAAGCTCCTCTTCTCTCTCTCCAGTGTCCATCTTGGATTGGATGGAAAACTATAATGGAAAACAATCATCTTCCAATGCGAACAGCAGCACAGGTAAAGAAATCAATTTTTTTTTCTTTGTTTTCTTCTCTATGGCGGTATATAAGAAACAGAGCTTCTAGCTAGGAATTGAAGAGGTGAATTTGTGTCGGTTTTGGAATCTGGTGTTTCGATCAACGGCTCCTTTAAGGCAAGAGCCCTAGGTAGCTGGGAAGTTTGATCCAACTCCAGTGTCACAGCGTTCATAAATTCATGCTCATGGTTCTTCTCACTGACTGAAAAGAATAGAAAGGAGAAAAAAAGAAGAGCTGTCTCTGGGATTGCTCGCGCATTGGTCTTTCTTGTCGGCCCCTCGTCGTGTTCTTGGGTCCTCCTCTCAGCTCCTTTTTTTCTCTTCTTCGCTTCTCGCGAGCTAAATGGCGCCGTTGGGCGCTTCATGAATGCTCGTGGGTCGTGGCAGAACTGTCACTTGTGTGGAGTCGGGGGATGTGGGCACCCCGGGTTTGATCCGTCCAGGATCGCCCACGAGTCGATTCGATCCCTTCGTTCGTCCTCGCCACAACCATGGCATTGATCGTCACAGGAATGCTGCTTGCATTGTCGCTCCTGCTGGAGCTCCTGGCTTTCCCTTCGAATGGAGAAGTGTACATGGTGATCATGGAAGGGGATCCAGTGTCCAGCTACGCGGAGGCGTTTGGAGCGGAGGAGGTGGACATTGGAATCGGCAAATCCAGGTGAGTGAAAGAGAAGAAACGTTCGTGTAATTCTTTCGTGATCGATGTTATGATATCCAGCTCCACGAAGAACATAGTGGAGCTCTACAAATCTCGTCTCGTCCAGCAGCACGACAAGTTCTTGCAAGAAACTTTCGCTAGCAGCGGCGCCGGCTACCAGAAGCTCTACAGCTACCACCACTTGATCAATGGCTTCGCCGTGAAACTCCAAGATCACCAGGTAAGTTGTTGTTCGCTTTTTTTTTCAACTTCTCAAGAAAATGAAGAACAAACTCTCGAACTTGACTCGATTTCTTGCTCTTGAAGGCAGACACACTCAAGTCAGCCCCGGGAGTGATGCTCGTCCAAAAAGATTGGAGAGTGAGCAAGCTCACGACACACACCCCCGATTTCCTGGGACTCCCGACCGGAGTGTGGTCGCAGCAGGGTGGCGCCGGCAATGCGGGTGACGGGATCGTTGTGGGGATCATCGACACTGGCATTGATCCCACGCATCCAAGTTTCTCGGGGCAAGCTTTCGCTTCCAACTCCTCCTCCAACACGTCGAGCGGCTTGAAAAACTTTCGAGGCTCTTGCGAGGTGGCCTCGTTTTGCAATGGCAAGATCGTTGGAGCTCGACACTTTGCCGCTGCCGCCACGGCTTCCGGCAACTTCAACGCGTCTGTGGACTTCGATTCTCCTCTCGACGGCGATGGCCATGGATCGTAAGCTCGAGCTTCTACTTCCAAAAACGTTTTTTTCTGGAGAAAAATGTAATTTTTTTTTCCTTTTTTTCGTTTTTTACAGCCACACTGCATCGATCGCAGCTGGAAATTACAACGTCCCTGTGACGATAAACGGGTACAGCTACGGGAAAGCGAGTGGTATGGCACCACGAGCAAGGTGAGCTTGGACAGGGATATTTTTTCCTGGTGAACATTTCTCTTTATTACGTACTGAAAGCTTCTTTGAGCAGGATAGCAGTGTACAAGGCACTGTATAGGCAATTTGGAGGATTTGTAGCAGACGTTGTGGCAGCCATAGACAAGGCAAGCAAGCGAAACTTTCGCAAATCTTTTCACAAACTTATTGTTCTTCTCTCGGGAACTTCACACAGGCCGTAGAGGATGGAGTGGACGTTTTAAATCTCTCTGTTGGTCCCAACAGTCCTCCCAGCAGCAGCAGTGCCACTTTTCTCAACGTTTTCGACATGGCTATCCTGGCAGCAGTGAAACAAGGCGTCTTTGTTGCTCAGGCGGCTGGGAATGGAGGGCCGTATCCTCGGACCATCGTCTCTTTCAGCCCCTGGATCGCCACCGTGGCCGCAGGACTCGACGACCGGAGCTATCCAAACTATATCAGCCTCGGCAACGCTAAAACTCTCCCCGGTGTTGGTCTCGCTCGTAAGTTCGTACTGATTCGAAACTTTCCATGATCTAAACTTTCCATGATTCCAAAACAAACTTTCCATGATCTTACTTCCCAAATTTTTCGAAACTAAACACTTTCCTTTTGCTGTGTCATTTTTCAATCCAGCTCCAACTCCAGGAAGCAGCACGTACAGCATGATCCTCGCCAAGGACGCGGTTGGAAACAGCTCAAACTATTTCTTCAGTCCCAACGATTGCCAGGACCCGAGCCTTTTCAACGCCCAGCTTGTCAAGGGAAAGGTACTGATTTGCACCTTCTCCTTCAGCTTTATCTTCGGTGGTGCCACCGTCCACCAAGTCGCCGCCACCGTCGCCAACCTCAGCGCCGTGGGATTCGTCCTGGTTGTGGAGTCGGACTTGGCCGGGAGCAAGTTTGAGCCGGTTCCAATCTCGGTTCCCGGGATCGTCATCACAACTTCCGAGAGCTCGGAGGTAAGAAGCTCCATAGCTAGATTCTTTAAGTTCCTGATAGAAAACTCGTTCTTTGCACAGGAGCTTCTACGCTACTACAACTCGTCCACCACCCGGGCAGCGAATGGAAAGGCTGCGAGTTTCAATGCCACGGCCAAGATCGGGAATGGACAAGAGGCGGTGTTCAACAGCTCGGCTCCACAGGTTGCTCTCTACTCGTCTCGCGGCCCCGACGTGAGGAACTTCGCGTTCCAGGACGCCGACGTTCTCAAGCCAAACATCCTCGCCCCCGGATCGCTCATCTGGGGAGCCTGGACTCCCAGTGGAACGGACGAGCCAAACTTCCAAGGTATGGATCTATGCAGAGAGAAAAGTTGACAAAGATCCATGTCCATGCCAGGGAAGAACTTCGCTCTTGTTTCCGGGACGAGCATGGCGAGCCCGCACGTAGCAGGCATCGCGGCGCTGCTCAAGAAGGAGTTCCCCGGCCGGAGCCCCGCGGTGATCGCCTCGGCGATGATGACCACCGCTTCCACCACGGACAACCGCGGGAGTCCGCTGCTCGCGCAGCACGTAAACGCGGCAGGGGGCTCGAGAGGATCAAACGCCACAAGCACGAGGAACAACGGGAGCAAGCCTTCGAGCTCTGCGTCGTCGGACCTCGAGAGCGCCACCCCGTTCGACTACGGCCACGGAGCCATCAATCCAAAGGCCGCGCTGGATCCGGGCCTCGTCTTCGACGCAGGTAAGTCCTTCGTGTTCTTGGCTCAAAGATCACTCGATCGATCATTCATCCCATTCATGCACAGGATACGGTGACTATATCAAGTTCTTGTGCGCGGTTCCCGGCGTGAACGCCACCGCCATCTTCAACGCGACGAGGGAGCGGTGCTCGCAGCCGGCGGGGCTAATGTCGGACCTCAACTTACCATCGATAACCATCTCCAGCTTGGGCGGCGAGAGGCGCGTTCCAAGGACCGCCACCAGCGTCGGGGCCAAGACGGAGAAGTACCGCGTGGTGGTGACCAACCCGGCGGGCGTGGCGGTGAGCGTTAAGCCGTCCGCGTTTGCGGTGGATCCCGGGCGATCGGTGTCGCTGGGCATTCTAGTCTGGGCCAGGGACTCGTCCGAGGAGTTTAGTTTTGGAGAGATGAGGCTGGTGGGCGATCTCGGACACACTGTGAGGCTGCCCATCACTGTTTTGAGGAGGCAAGCCAATAGCTCTAGCTAGCGCGAGCGCCATAGCGAGGTATAGTATATAAAAGCGTTTCCATTAGAGAGAGAGAGAGAGAGAGAGTCAAATCTATGAGCATATTCTTAAGCGTAGGGTTTATTATGTTTTTAAGAATATTCTTGAATCTAAAAGTTCTAGGGTTTATGAATGCCAAATGGGAAGAATCAATGTAGGGGGGTGTGTGCCCGTGGAAGATGGGACGAGCTTGAGCTACCAGGAATTCCGCGAGCGCTATCTCCTGCCTAACAAGCCCGTGCTTGTCACGGGATTGATGGAGCACTGGCGGGCGTCTAGGGACTGGGTGGACGACCATGGCAAACCCGACCTCGAGTTTCTTGCTCGCAACTTTGGCGGCTCCAAGATCCAGGTACTTTTCACTGGAAGAGAAATGGAATTTCTCCCTTTGGGAATCGATTAAGCTCCTCCAGGTTGCAGACTGTGGCGAGAGAGAATTCACGGACCAGAAGCGTTTGGAGATGACGGTGTCTGAGTTTGTGACGCATTGGAAGAGCGACGATCCTGAGCGCCGAGCGTTGCTCTATCTCAAGGATTGGCACTTTGTCAAGGTGAGCTTTGGTTCTTTCTTCTTTTTAGCTAGAAGAACTTACCAAGTTTCGATTGGAGCAGGAGTTTCCAGACTATGGCGCTTATGAAACTCCGATCTTTTTCTCTGACGATTGGCTCAACCAATTTCTAGACTCAAACTCCTGGCATAGCTCCGGCGATACCGTGCCTTCTTCCGACTATCGTTTCGTCTATATGGGACCAGCAGGTAAAAGGCTAGTCTAATTTTTTCTCTGGAGATTTCTCAAGTGATCTTTGTGAAGGTACATGGACTCCATTGCACGCCGACGTTTTCAGGTCTTATAGCTGGTCTGGAAATGTGTGTGGAAGAAAACGCTGGCATCTCTTGCCACCGGAGCAAACTCCATTTTTGTTTGACAGGTGAAAAGTTTCGATGCTTTTTTTCACCGCTTTGATCTCCTTGTTTTGTTTCACCTTTCTAGGCACAAAAAGAACACCGTGTATGATATCTATGGAACGGTGGACGAGTTTCCAGATTTTTCCAAGGTTTGTTTGCAATTGCTGCTGTATCGACTGTTTTTTTCTAACTTTGCTAGACGAGTTGGACGGAGTGCATCCAAAATCCAGGCGATATCATCTTTGTTCCGAGTGGATGGTATCACCAAGTAACCAATCTGGTAGCGATGATGTTTGGATTTTTCAGTGATCAGAAAACATTCGCATTTTGTGCAGGAAGACGTGATCTCGATCAATCACAACTGGTTCAACGCCTGCAATCTCCATTGGGTGGTGAGTATGTTTGATTCGAATGAGCGTTTTGTTTCTTTTCTTAAGTGATATTTCAGTGGCGTCTCCTTGAAGATGATTACAGAGACACTGTTGCTTCAATTGAGGACGTAAGAGACATCAGCGACGATTTTGAAACGCTCTGCCAGCGGAATCTTGCAGCAAACTCAGGTTTCTTTATCTTGTTACTGCTTGGTTTGATTGCCAATCTTTGCAGGCATGAACTACAAGGATTTCGTGGTCTTTCTCGCTGGAATCCTGGAGATGATACTGGACAGAAAAGACAATACTTACCTTTCATTTGATCTACTCAGCGTGAAATCAGTCTTGCTGAATGTTGTCTCAGCTAGAGTGCACCAAGATTTGTGTGATTACGTAATAGGACTTTTGAGTAAAATACAAACAATCCTAGAAACGATGTAGTTTATTCCTCATATTCATTAATTTAAGATAAGTAGTAGTTAATTGCACTTTTACATTTAATCAAGATTAGTAGAAACAATCTTTAAACCTAAAAACCATTCGAAAATAAAGATATTTATTACTCTTTTTGGTAGATGTTTTATTTTAGTTCACTCCCAAATAGCTAGAAATTATTATGAGGAATATTATTATAACCTACTAGAACTCTGTAACAGTCTCTTTTTAAATAACTACTATTGCCCAGCAAATGCTGTATTGTGACTTCTGAATATATGTAAAACATTAATGCTAGACAAATGCCAGATGAGCACAAAAATCAATAATTTCATATAATTTTTTATATATATACACAATATAACATAGACCATGTTCTTGGGAATATGAATATATTAAAACACTAAGATTTTAAGAAAAGTAATACTTAACTCAGGAAAAAGTAAAATATGAATTGCTAAAAATAAATACTTTTATAGATATTAGATGCAAAGTATAAGTTAAGAATCTATAAAATTTATATTATATATATTAAATAATGTTTTTACTTAGAATATGAATAAGTATATAACACTAAGATTTAATACTTTTAGAATTGTTTGGCTCTAAGTAACATTAATGTTCTTAAAAGTAAACAATAAGATTTTAAGAACAGTAAAACCTATATATTAGATACAAACTATAAATTCAAAAACTGATATTCCATAGTATTATTATATGCTAGTAAACTATATTTGTAGTTAGGCAAAAGAATATAAAGTGTTAGTGTTTAATCAATAGTTTTTTATATTCAGGTGTTATGAGGGCCAAGTGTACGGCTATGATGCCATATACTAATATTAGCATAGTGGGATTTTGGTAACTGTCAAATTGATTTCAATCTGGACCACTCGCTTTTGTATATAAGCTAGGGTTTTTGGGCTAATTAATATGCACATTTTTTATATTCCCTTTCTATATTTCATGCACTCACATTGGTGGAGTTGAGAAGCACCTTTGATTGTCCCTGAAGAGTGTTTAAATTTGGGATTTTGGTTTAAATCTAACTTTTGCATTATCTAAATCTAGTTTTTTCCATTTCCTTTCTTTTATTCTTTCCCTTTAGCTTTTTTGCATTGTCTAGATCTCCATTTCCTTCTAGCTTTTGTCATTTCTCTTCTTTTGCTCTTTCCTTTTCGTTCATCTTCATGGTAGATTAGCAATTTTCCTTTGACTCTAGAGTAGTAGTTGGTATAATTTTTTGATGTTATGTGCTTGCAATTGAACAACCAAACTTAATTGATGGTGGCGTTCACGGTACATGGTACAACTCCTCTTGCTTTTGGTGCCAATCCTCGCGTTCAGCTGGAATTTTTTCACGGGAATCCTAGGGATGATGTGTACCATTGGTTCGATCACTTCACGGTGATTGCCACATATCATTCTTGGGATGATACTCGACATTTGTGTGAGTTTCCCACGTGTCTCCAAGGGACGGCGTTGCAGTGGTACAATGGTTTGAGCGCAGCCACTTGTGGGGATTGGAGTATTCTCCCAGACGTCTTCAAATGTGCATTCGGTCATGCCAATAATTGTGATGATGCTTTCCAACAATTGCATTGTCTTCACCAAAGGCCATCTGAATCAATGATGCAATTTAGCATTCATTTCCGAAGTCTTTTGCTTTGTGTGGAGCCAAATATGTTGGAGTGAATCAAGTTAGGAATGTTGTGGCCAGCACTTCGTCAAGATTTTGTTGGACTTATGCATGCACTTGCTCTAGCCACCCTTGACAATGCACTTCACTTGGCAAAACGTTATGAGACGTCACTTCTTCCACTTCTCGCTGCCCGTCCTTCTGTTCCTCTTCCTATAGGCAATGGTCCTGTTCCAATGGAGGTTGATGTTGTTGCTACTCGAATCCAAGGACAAGGGTGAGGACATGGTTATGGCCATGACGTTTGCTGTTGGGCATGTGATGAAGTTGGGCACACTTATTGGCGTTGTCGACGTTTCCGGATTGGCGACTTTCATTTCTTGGGTGGACACCTTGGCGTCAATAACGTCCTGTTGGTGCTGTTGTAGTGGAAGGTATAGACATCACGATGCATTCGGGAAACGAGGAATCGCACGAGTAATGGAGGGACCTTGCGCGAATAAGTCAATGACCCCTCCATCTTTCTTTCAGGAGTATCATCAAGGGGTTCACTCGGCACCGGTTCATCCAGTGTTTACTTTCCAAGCTCATTTTTATAACAAAAGATCTCCTATTATTCTTTCCATGTTGGTTGATACAGGTTCAAGTTTATCTTCTATTGCTTGACTTGTTGCCACACGTTGCCGTTTACACTTGCGTCGTGCGGTGGAACCAGTTTTCATTCTTTATGGCAACGGCCGTATACATGCATATGCACAGGATGAGGCGGACCTGGTTGTGCGTGTGGGCAATCTCGAGCTTGAGTTGCAGTCCTTGCGGGTGGTGCCGAGTCAAGCTTTTGACCTCAACCTTGGTATGGATTGGTTGTAGCGCAATCATGCCTAGTGTGACTTTGAGGCTTCTCCCCCTTGTCTCATACTTCTTTATGTTTCATTTATTCCTCTCATTTTTGTACCTCTTCATCCCTCTACTTCTACCTCTTCTTCCATTACTTTTGTCCCCCCACTATTTCCTCCTATGTTTCCGTCTTGTTTGGCTCTTCCCTTTTCTGATCCCTCTGACGATCTTTGTGTTGCAGCAGTTGACCGGCTCATGAAGGAGTTGTAAGCGACTAATTTTTCCATTCTACTTTAGTCACTTAACCACACCTCTGACCACTTGGAGGAGTCTCATTCACAACCTCCATAAGTCCAACTTAGGACTTGGGGCTTGCTAGCCCCGAGAATGGCATCCATGCCACTCAACCTTAGCACTTGGTCCAAGTGCTCCACGTGTCCGATCCCATGATCGACACCCCAAGGTACCACCAACGTATCAGCCCGTTACGCTAAGGCTATGCCCAATTACCTTGGTCACACTGGTGGTCCAACACCACCTGCATTCCAATCCCGTCTCTCAAAGACTGGGTCATCCGTCCATGAGGGATCATCCCAGATCCACTCCTTAACATCCTTAGGATGCCTACAGACATGGGGAATAGCCTTCCCCAATATCTCTGTTCCGGTCCCCACCAAGTCCCTTTCTGTCCTTGGCTGTGTTCGCCAACACTGCCACTGGATCAAGGCCCACTGGCCCTACCACTAAGTCCCACTATCCTCGAGGACTTCCTCACTGTGTGACTGTGTCTTTGGTCACCCCACCAGAGGGCTACCCCTCTTCCTTTCCACAGTCTGGGACTTCGGGACACCATTTCGGAACACCGTGGCCTTACGCGAGCCACCTGGGTACTCTCCCCACCTTTCGCCTTTAGGTGCTCTAGCCATGGGCTTAGAGCGAGGTTCCGTTGAGCCACGCCTGGTATCCAAGTAGGTAGTGCCACCCACACTTGGACTGGGAGCATCGGCCAGTCGATCTCCCGGGGGAACTAGAGCCGGCTCTTGAACACTTCACCAAGCTACCCCGCTTGTCGGTCTGTGTTCACTCTAGTCTTGGACTTCCCAGTGGGCAGCTCATCACCCAACACTGGGTCCGGCCTTCCTGGGCCAAACTGGCCTTTCCTGGCCAAACTGGCTCCACTGCAGTCCTCCCCCTACTATACTTTTGGAGCTCACCAAACCCCCCAGGGTCTGGGAGACGAACGCTTTGGGCTTTCACCCTCTCAGGCTCCGGACTCGGACTCGGACTCGGACTCGGACTCGGATTCGGACTCGGGCTCGGGCTCGGTCTCGGCCTCGGCCTCGGTCTCGGTCTCAGTCCCGATCTCAGTCTCGGTCTCGGTCTCGGTCTCGGTCCCGGTCTCGGTCCCGGTCTCGGTCTCGACTTCGGACTCCATCTCGGACTCCATCTCGGACTCCATCTCGAACTCCATCTCGGGTCCATCTCGGGTCCATCTCGAACTCCATCTCGGACTCCATCTCGGGTCCATCTCGGACTCCATTTCGGGTCCATCTCGGGTCCACCTCGGACTCCATCTCGGACTCCATCTCGGACTCCACTTCGGACTCCAACTCGGGTCCATCTCGGGTCCACCTCGAACTCCACTTCGGACTCCATCTCGGACTCCACTTCGGACTCCAACTCGGGTCCATCTCGGACTCCACTTCGGACTCCAACTCGGGTCCATCTCGGACTCCACTTCGGACTCCAACTTGGGTCCATCTCGGACTCCACTTCGGACTCCAACTCGAGTCCATCTCGGACACTCCCACGTGTCATGTGTTGGTCCTTTTGGGTCCCTTTTTGGAGCCTCGCCTTTTGCTCGCTTCGTGCTCGTTCCTCGAGCACTTCGTTGGGAGTTCCACTCCCGCTCTTGACTTTTCAAGTCGGAGCTTTTGGTCCAAACGTGTTACGCTCGTTTGGCTCTCGCTTCGGCCACTACCATGTGGCGCCCTTCTGGCTCCACTTTGGGGCCTAGGGATTTTGTGTCTCACAACTCCACCACCCATAGACGAAGTTCGATGTCCTCATCGAACGGTAAACCATGTTTTTTTTTTTTTAAAGTAACACTCGCATGTGTTACCATTTCCATCCTTGGCACCTAGCCAATATTTGTCAATGGTTTGACATTGAAGGCTCACCATACCTTCTCCATATTCGTCAATGGTTTGACATTGAAGGCTCACCATGCCTTTTGCATATGCCTCAATGGTTTGACACCAAAGGCTCACCATGCCTTGCCTATCCTCTAAGGAGGGTAGTCTCTCCAACTTAGAGACTGATTGGACCACATATAGTGGTTCTCTCCTTTTATTGGTTTAGTTCTCGCTAAACTTCTTAGAGACCCTTCTCTAAGTCAATCCCGCTACTCCTTCTCGAGTAGTCTCAATTTCCATCTATTGAACGTTTGCACCTTGGAACTTTTACTCTTTTGACTTTTGGAAGTCAATTTCCTAGGTGTCTCCAACACCTTGCATTGCACAGATTGTGCAACTCCACTTCCCCATCCTAGGAAGCTCATTACTTGAGGGCACCATCATC